AGAATTTTCTTCCACCCATCCCTGCATAATTAAGACTGACCATGGTCAGTGAACATGTATTGCAGAAATATGGGAGCATTTTTTTTAAACTGATTTCCATTCAGAATGTCCTAGAAAAATGTCCAGGTTTGGCTAACTGAAATCCCCAAAAGTACACATGCACGCACACACACACACATACGGCTAACTGAAATCCCCAAAAGTACACATGCACGCACACACACACACATACGGCTAACTGAAATCCCCAAAAGTACACATGCACGCACACACACACACATACAAATTCTATATTTATACTGTAACATGCAAGTTGAATTGTACTGTCTTAACCATGTTGTTAGTTCACGCATGGAGCGAGCCATTTCTCTAGTCCACAGTTTTGTGTGTGTATGTGCGCATGTTGGTATGCCTAGGGAATGATCAGATAAGAGACAGCATAGCCCACAGCTGGACAGTGGGCAGGGCAAGAGGCTCAGAAGAGACCCTCCCTAATTTCTTGAGCTGTAAAGGAAAAAGGGGGGAAATTGTACTTTCAGACTTGCAAGATTCTGTTAATGTAGCCTTACAATAAAGTAGAATTAGCTCATCTGGTCCGTTTTCTTGTCTGGTCTACCCAGTAAGGTTGACATCAATCTTGCAAGTCTCCTATTCTCTTCCAAGGAGTGGAATTTCGGGAATGGCCTCCAATCCTCAAGGGACTCCACTATCTGCCGAGCATCTGGCAGCACATATTGCAACAGCACGTGGATGCACAGATGACTAAATTGCAGAATGCCATCATATACCTAATGCAACAGCTGCAGGCTACGTTGTCTCTTATCTGACAATTTCCTAGGCAGTGTCTCTGGGACCATTCTCCCAAGGTCTTTCCCACATATCATTTCTGTCTGTCTGTCTGTCTGTCTGTCTGTCTGTCTGTCTGTCTATCTATCTATCTATCTATCTACCTACCTACAGTGGTACCTTGGGTTACGAACTTAATTCGTTCCATGACTCTGGTCGCAGCCCGAATTGGTCACAACCCGAAGCAAATTTCCCCACAAGGTTCAATGTAATTACCGTTAAGCCGTTCTGGCGTGGAGGACAGGGAGGTGGCT